GGGGCAGAGACACATCTGAGCTGCGTGCTGTTTGTACCGACAGTTTTTTGGGTATGTTAGCGTGACGGTTTAGTATAAGGGAAGAAGCTGCCTTTTTATCTAGCACACCTGTATTGCTAGCCGCTAGCTTAGCATTATGTTGGTGCCGATAGGTGCGTGTGTGTGTGGAGGGGAGGTGCACGCTGTTCGGTAGACGGGGCGGGGCGCCCCGCTTGTATAATGGTAGGAGAAACACTGGAGTGTGCTGCATGTGGGACTGAGTTTGTTGTGGCTCCTCAGACTGATGAAGCACTTAGGATGAAGGATGAAATGTCTCAACACAAAAAAAAAACCATCCAGAGGACCTGACTGAACATCGTTGGATTTTTTACCTGGATTTTTGAGCATGAACTTTGATGCATAAAGTGTTGCAGTTTTTCAAATTCTGCACATTTGTCAAAAGATCTGTTTGATTTTCCCCTAAATATATCTCATTAAAACCACTAAAATAACCGTTTTCCAAACTAAATGTTATTATTTTTTTACACTATCATATATATATGATACAAATATGTTGAGTGTATGACTGTTTTATTGTATTTCACTATAATAAAACTAATGTAAAAAACAAGGAAAACAAATCTGCTGATTACTCTGTTTCTTTATCATACACCTTGCCTGAATCTACCATGATAACAATTTCATTAAAGTAAAGTTGGTGGAATTCATCATCATAATTTAATGGTTTTTTTTAAGTTATTTATGTTGAGTCCTGTACAAAACTCTGAGCAAGAACGGAAACACAAACGTTTCTACTGCCTGCCGATAAATTACATCCAACTTTTTGGTTCCTGGGAGCATGTCTCGTTGGCTGACGGCGGCGGACAAAGTCACGCTGGCGATAAATGAGAATGTCAGAGCAAAGTGAAACATGGCTTGAAGGCAGCAGCTCGGCGTCGTGTTCTACATGTGAGGTGAGCGCACGTTTACCTTGCCCGACTTTCATGATGACTTTCATGGCTCGGCTCTTGCACACGCCTCCCTCCCGGTTCTCCAGTCCCTCGACCGTGCCGTTGGAGGTGGCTAGAATTGGTGGGGGGGGAATGAAAGAAGGAGGACGACACAAAGGACGAGGAGTGGGAGGATGTGATGGAGGGTAAAGAAAAGAGGAATTGGGTGGTGGGGGAAGAGACAGTGACACATTGGTTAATGAGCACGTCCATAACGCACAGTAATCAATATTTACGACAAGCACTGATTAGCTGTTCCAGTGATTAGCAGTTCTCAGCCTCAATCAAGCGGCAGTTCCTCTCAACGCCATCTCTCATTAACACAACAGAGTGAAGTCAAATGAATAGAACAACATCACAGTCTACTGAGAGCGTCTGGACGCGGAGGAGGAACACGCTCACACTTGGAAGTGCGCGTGTAAACAGTTCAGCAGTTAGAGGTCCAGCGGCCTGCCAGGTCCGCGGGCAGCCCACTCCCTCTGGGGCCGCATGTGTCGCCGCTTGCTGGTACAGTGCATCGAGCTAAATGCCTCGCGCCTGCGTGTCCATTTTTAAATTAGTGCACGTGTGTGTGTGTATCTCGATTTGTTCTAGCGTGTGCTCCAACTTGGAGTTTAAGGTTGTTTATCCAATGTCACAGTCACTTCACACACTGTGACACAATTGACTGTCTATTTTAGGCCTCTTGATAATGACCCGAGGAGGCAGAGTGTGACTCTGACCTTAGCACAGAGCTGCGCGTGTGCATGTGTGTGTGCATGTGTGTGTGCATGTGTGTGTGCATCTAAGTTTGGAATTCCCCAAATGATCACCATCTCTGCTTAGTCTGCTGTTTCGATGCACTCCCTTCCTCTGCTTTTGTTTCTCTTCCTCGCATTATCCGTCTCGCTCCAACTTCATTTGGTTCTTTTTCTTTTTTTAATCTGCGACATCTGACTCTGCCCCTCCCGTTTCCCTCCCGCTTAACTCAGTGACCATCTCCCAGGATGATTGCTTCAGATGGCACCCTCATTATGATGACAGTCCTGGAGAGGATGCTTATCTAATGACAGCAAACTTGGCCCCAAGCGGAGGGAGGTGGGGAGTCAGGCCAACAATGCAAATACAAACACTGGGACACTTACTGGCATCGTGAATCAATGTTCCTACATGCGTTTGCTCGCTATGAACTGATGTATCGAGTCGTGTTAAAATGTGCCTTCACAGCCTTGAAAAAAAAATAAAAAAGCTTGTCTAGTTGATGCATGTCCTGTCATTCCTAAGCTTTATTAATGCTGACATTAATGCTGCCTTGTGGGATTTCAGCTTTTGACTTCAGAGAAATGAAAGAAAACAAAATAATGAATTACACTAATATTACGCTACGCTATCAGATCGAAACGCGAGCCACTAAATTACAACAACGTTTTGTTAGCGGGATAATTTGCGAGGCTGAATGTGATAACATCATGTCGGGAGCTTCTTGGTACGAGCGCCCTGCCGCAGTAGACTCAACACAACCGAGTGAAGTGGATGTTAAAACACACACGAGGGGGCCGGCACAGCTAAGTGCCACCCAAAAACGACTTAAATTTACACTGAGCACACATTAACAGCATTTACGCTGTTAATGTGAATGAACACTCGGGGCTAAGTGAGTCTTGTGATTTATGTAGATCTGAAGCATGTCGTGTTTGAAGAGAACATCCAAAGCCAGTTCTGTAAGCTCCTCGCTGCCACGGACGCTCCAGACGCTGACACCACCTCAGCTGTGCTTTTTACCCCAATTTCTCTTTCAATTTTTACATTTCTAGGGTAAGCCGAGACAAAAAAAAATGAGCTCTTTGAAGATCGACCTCAAAGGGGCTTGAATATTCTCCCTAACAGTGAATTTTATATCCACTCAGGGAGAGCAAATCTTCTCAGCGTTAACTTACTTCTGTCATCTAAATTAGCTATTCCTTCAGGCTGGCCGAGCAGACCTCTGCATCGCTGATGTGGCGTAATGATAAGTTGGCCCGGTGAGGCTCCTGTTTAGTACTGGAAGGGAGCTGGATTTGTAAAAGAACATTTCAGATGCTGTTTGTGTTCAGGCGATGGAAAACGTCACATAACTCAAGCCATTACTGTACCGCTGGAACTTCATAATCCCATTAACCGTGTCCAATTGTGACCACATTTTCTCCTGTGAATACGTCTTTTAAGCACTGTTCAAGATGGAAATCAGCCGCAGGATCAACATTAGGAAAAACAAATGTCAAAGGCTGTTAAAGGGGTAATTCAGATATTTGAAGTGGGGTTCTACGACAACGTTATGAATAATAAATATTCTACCTGTTGCAGATGGGTCTTTAAATGACCTCAGTTTGGCAAAGTTAATCTGACTGGATTGACAAGCTAACAGCTAGTGAAATGTGTGCCATGTTAAAACTCCAGTCTCAAATATGTCATTGTAGCTAATTCAACTGATGCCAAGACACAAAATTACATGGAAAAATAAAGTTAATTTTCAACTGAAGTCACATTTAATTATCACACTGGTAGACTCGTGAATTCTTAATCAGGATTATCACTGTGAAAAAAAACCTTGTGCTGCTGATTATCCATGCTGCTGATCTCGTGCTTCTGATTTATTTCATGCTGCTGTGTTCATTCGTACTCATCTGCTCACACAGACTCATGTTCGTGCTGCTGTTGTTCGGTGTATTGTTTTTGTACTACTAGTGCTTAGTGTGTTCTTAGTTTAGCATATTTCTTAGTTCATATCTTTGATCTTATTACTGTTTTTCTTTACATTTTAATACTTTTGTTGGATGTAATTGGGACCCTGTGTACATAATTTCGTTCCACCACATGTACCACATGAGATGATAATGACAATAAAGAACCTTGAACGACACTTCTGCACAAACTAGATGAAATATGGGCCAATATGCCATGAGGTTGCATACATATCTGCTGTGTTGTATTTTTCTTTGCTGCACAGTGTTCTTGAGTTTTATGAAAAGTGCTTTTTATGTTATTATTATTATCCTCAGACAGCCGAAGCCTGAAGGGTGAAACGTCTCGGCACAAAAAAAGAAACAGTCCAGATGACCTGACTGAACATTGTTGGACCATTTTCTAATCGTTATGTTGCTGTCAATTTAACATTACCCATTTAATAACAGTTACAGCTAGCTGCTGCTGCTCGTCCAGCAGGGTCTTCATCATATTTGTGCTGGATAATCTTAAAAAGGAAAGTGATGAGAATGTTAAAACAGCTGAGGAGTTTTTGAGACTGGATTTGTTTTTCGATGGCATCAATCCACTTTGCACAGGGCTCGGCTGAAACGAGCCGTTAGCTCCTTAATCCCAACAAATATGCTCTATTTCTACAAACACATTCTAAGAGCTATCTACAACAAGTAAGATATTAACTGTTTATAATCTTTTTCCTAGAACACCATTACAAAACTCAGAATCATCCCTTTTTCATCACGTTTGTCTGTTTTTGTTTTTTTGTTTCAACTCTTGGCTGGTTTTAGTTTGTTCACATCTATCATGTCAAAGATCACGCAAAAACTGTGCCAACCCAGTTTTCACCATCTCCCTAACCCTACTCCACCACAACGCCACACTGACAGCGTTTTTAATCTAAAAGCCTCTCACTCCGTCTTCTTACCGTCGCTTTCATTTGCCCGTCCCCTTTATCCTTGCACACTAACGTTAATCCAAATCTGGATTTCCAGATATTAAAAGGCCAACAGTCATGCTGCGTTCTGAAAGGGGGGAAACCAGGGAATAGGGCTTTTCTGAGGGTCTCAGCAGAGATAAAAACACAAGGGGGATGAAGCAACAACAGGATGGATAACAAAGAAACGACTGCCCTGCCGCTGATGATTGAGTGGAACAAACCGGTTCACTGTTAGCGGTCCGGAACACCGTTAGAAGTGGTCATTGCATGAAGGAATGCTACTTCTTTGGAAATAAAGTGTCTGGCTCCAAATGAGGGGTTTTAGTGTGATTTAAGACCCTCCTTGTGGGTGTGGATCACTGGCCACAGAGTGACTAGTGGGAGAACAAAAGATCTACAGCTGCTGAAGTCATAAGAGAAACCAGGTGCCAGATGTTGACGTTGGGAAATATCTACAGTACATCAGCCAAGAGGAAGCCTTACAGGAGAAATAGCTGTTCAGCTAACACCTTCTGCTGCTGCACATTACCTATAACATATTACCATACATATGTGAATGTGCACCTTTGCATGCAGATCTAAAAAGGACACTCAGGGTGGAGGAGGAGGACTGCTCCCTGAAGTGCTCCGAGGAGAGGAGTGGGAGATGTGTTAGAGATACGGCGCTGACCGACCGAGGCGACGCACGCTAAGGCTGGGCCGCGGTCTATATTTATTCTCAGGTCTGCTAAATGAGGTCACTCAGGTGGTCCTGCTGAATACATTCCCCATCTCCATCATGAATCATCTACTGCTTATTATTCCTGACCAACCCAGGGGGAGAGAAGAGAGCGGGGGCTTTCACACAACCGAGCACGACGAAACTGAGTGTGAGCGAGTCTACGCACACACGCGTGCACAGCAGCAACATCTGCCCAGAGCACAAACGAGTGGATGGATACAGCCCATGTGACAGACAGAGAGCAGGTTGTTTAATGAGAAAGTGGATGAGAGGTGACATTCATTGGCTGCCTCCCACACCACCACCACCACCACCCTGTTCTCTACAGCATTCAGACTTCCACTTAGACGAGTGGAGCAGGCACTGGGTAGTCACAGCAACCACTACCAATAATGTCTACATTTTCCAAAAGATAGAGAAAGAGGAAAAAAGATAAATACATAAGCGGGGCACAGCCACCATCTGATCACTCACACTTAGCATCAAAACGAAGCTCCAGTGCACACATTTGTTTTATCCGTTCAGGCTAAACAGACCTATCAGGTGTGTATGTGTATTAAACAGAGCATCACAATAAATACGTCTGCTTATCATACCTGCAATTTCCTCCATCTTGGTTTTGGTTTACATTAGCAGACCACAACTGAGGAGCCAAGGAGCACAAGAGAGCCTATTTGCACAAAATATTTCACTCCTG